TGCTCTTGTAATCTTGTAGCTTTTTCCACACTCGTGCAGCCGTGTAGCAGATCATCCATGTAGAAACAGTCTTCAACAGCTGTAGCTGCTTCAGGGTAGGTATTTTTCTCGTCTTGGGCCAACCTTCTCAACGTCATCATTGCCAAAAATGGGGCGGCCTTGGTGCCATAAGTGACAGTAGTGAGTTGGAATTCTTGAAGTGCTTGGTTAGGATGATCTCGCCAGAAAATTTTTTACAAGTGCTGGTCGTTCTCATGTACCCAAATTTGACGGTACATCTTCTCTATGTCGGCTATGAATGCAATGCGATGCTGCCTCCATTTCAAAATAAGTAACATAAGGTCATTTTGAAGATTCGGTCCCTTGTACATAAAATCATTAAGGCTTGTTCCATTGGATGTTGTTTGCGATGCATTGAAGACAACTCGAAGAGCCGTAGTACTTGAGTCTTCTTTTAGCACGCAATGGTGAGGCATATAGTATTCCGGTTTCTTGTTACGAGTTACCGGTTTCATATGACCAAGTGCAATGTACTCGTTGATAAACAACTTGTATTGTGTTGCAATTGAATTATTTTTAAATAATTTGTTTTCTAATTGTTGAAATTGTGCAATAGCTCTATTTTTAGACTGGCCGATTTCTGTGGCATATGATGTTTTAAGGGGAAGTCGTACTTGGTATCTTCCATCTTGTAATCTTGTCGTTGTGGCGTTATAGAGATCTATGCACTCTTGTTCTTGTGATGTAACTGAGATGTCATCGATTATATCTTCTATCTCCCAAAAAGACTGAATATTTTCCATATCATTGAGTATGACATTGCATTGTAGACTGTGTGTCTTGCCACACAAAATCCAACCGAGTTTTGTTTGTTGAATAACCGGCGTATATTCTTGTTTAATGAGACCATCCAAAATAATGTTTGCGTAAATATCGGCTCCCAGTAATAAATCGATTTGTTGGCTTATGTAAAATTCTGGATCAGCGAGTTCTAGGTTTTCTATAATTTGCCATGATGGTTTCGGGAATGAACAGGTAGGTAGATTTCTTGTTAAGTTTTTCATTATATAAACATCTAAGTTGAAGGTATGTCCTCCCCTTAAGGACGTGCAATTGATTTTTGCCATTCCTTTACAGACGTTGTCTTTAGTGCCAATTCCTGTTATAACTCCACTGTATTTGAAGCGATGTAATTTTAGAGTTTGTGCAGCATGTTCTGTTATTAGGGAAACTTGAGATCCCTGGTCAATAAGAGCACGCATGATCCTGAATATTCCATCTGATCCTTGAACTCTTATCTTGGCCGTGGCGAGTAAGACTTCTGACCTTTCACGTTGTTGAGCCACGTGAGTCGCGCTTGTTCGCTGAGCTTGCTCCTTTGGCGTAAATTGGGTTCTTGCTGACGCTTGACTTGTAAATGCGTTGTGAAGGAGTGTATTGTGACATCCATTGCACGTTTTACATCTTTTGTTGGAGTTGCAACTTTTTTCTTCGTGTTTGTAGAGACAATTGGTACAAAGTTTTAGTTTCCCAATTGTATTTATTTTCGTTGCAGGCGACATATCCAGGAACTGTTGACAGAAGTATATCCCGTGATCACCTTTGCATATAGGGCATTGGATCTTGTTTCCTTGAGACCACGCGTTGGTTGTTGTTTTGTTGCTTAAATAATAATTCTTGGTTTGTTGTTGCGGTCTGTAGGGACGGCTATTTCCAGATGTTGTTGGTATACTGTAACTTGACCTCTGTATTGCGTTATCTTGCTTGCGTCTTGATGCTTCTAAAGCTGTAAACTTGCCTTCAAGGAACCCCAAAAATTCTTTTAATGATGGTAATTCCCGTGGTAAGGTCAATGATTCCAAATAATCATTATGGGTCTCGGCGTCTAGTTTCTGTGCCAGTAGGTGTACTAAGATGGGATCCCAGGTGGTTATATCAACCCCTAAGTTCTTAATACCGTTGAGACATTCTTGGGTTACGTCGTGAATGCGTTTAATTAGACTTGTTGTGGCTTGTTGCATCACTGGAAGTGTCAATAAAGTATTCATATGCGTAGTGAAAATTAGTTTTTTGTTATTATAACGGTGGTTCAGTATATCCCAACACGCTATATAATTATCAGAGCTGATAGTCAGGTGCTGTATTAAGCGTTCTGGTTCCCCTTTTATCTTGCTTTTGAGAAACTGCATTTTTTGAGCATTAGATAAGCATGGGTTGTCGTGTATTGCTTCCGAAAATAAGTCCTTGAACGACACCCATTGTTGGTAATTTCCATTGAATTCCGGAATATCAAGTTTGGGTGTAGATTTCTCTCGATGGAATACCGCCCATAATTTGCTATTAATCTCTTTCTTGATGCGAATATAATCGGCCTCATGTTGGGTAAAGAAATTATCATAATATTTGTCAGTTTTTCCGTCGCCCAGTTCACTGTCGATTTCCCAATGAAGTTTGTCGATCGCCAGCCATCTCATTTCAATATTTTTCAACACATCTTCGAACTCCCACTTCTCTTTAATATTATCAATTTCAATATGAGATAAAGTGCGTGAAAAAGGTTTGAAATTGGTTAATTGTTTCCTGAGAAGCAGTTCTACTTTTTCACTCTTGTTTCTGGATCCTGATGAACTATCTTGATCAATTTGCTCGTGCCAAATTTCTTTCAGGTCTTCCTTGCTAGTACTTGCCCCAAACTGTTCTTCGTTAGGAATAAAACTTTTTAGAGATTTTCGTATTTCTTCACAAAATTTTTTCGTCTCTCCATAGTGATCTTGAAGGAAGTATTCATCATTGCTGTCGTTGAAACTTAGAATCAGTGCATGATTTTCCGAAAACTCAGTCCAGTTCGATTCTAGAAGTTCTAGCTTATTCTTGATATACACAGGCGTTTTACGTATCTTGCTATCTTTCTTGAAATTAGTCCAAAGTTGTTGTATAGTAGACATGATAATATTCTGCTTCTCAATTAAACTTTCCATCTTGAAAACTTGATAATTTCCTGTCTTGATAGTGTCTTGATTTGAATGAGTTCTTACGTTTGTCGATTTCTTGCTCGAATATTCTTCTTGATAGTAAAAAACAATATATATATAGGTACCTACTTGATATTATGCTTGAATGCTTGTTGTATTGATTTCACTCGTCAGTGAAAAAATATTCAGCCTTCGTCTTGATGAAGGAAAATTCTTGCTGATAATAATAATGGTTTTGACTCGCTTGTTCTTGTTCTTCAGTATTTCCTCAGACTCCGCGTGATCTTATGCGCCTTCTCAACTCGGTCGGTGAGACCCGCTTGTGGGAGGCCGACGAGCCGATTCGCAACCACACGAAACCACGAAAAAACACTGAAAACCTCTCGAAGGACCACTAATGTACGAGCCCTTGTCAACTCAGTACATTGAATTGCTATTTCTTGATATTGAAGACAGGAAAACACTTGATAAACTTGACGAAAATATTTATTATTAAACTTGATGTAACTGTGTGCACACTGCTTGAGACAAACGCGAACTAACTTGGACGTGATTATGAAATGTATTTAAACGGTAAAATATTGACCTAAACAATTAAATGCTTTGCTTGCAAAATGTACGATTTGATCGTACACAGACATTGTCTTTACTTCTTTTATTTACTAGACTACGGGGGTCATATGTTGTACCAATAACTTGCAGACAGAAAGTACCTCCCAGAAGGCATACACTAACTGGATGAAGTACCTAATAGATTTAAATGCCATAACTTCCATGATGGCTCTTTGTGCTCTCAAAAATGTGACAAGGATGGGTAAAGGCTAAAAAATCACGAAATTAGTGTGACTTTATGGATGACCCCTAACCCCAGGATGCAAGCAACTGTCCCAATAGTTGTTCATTGGATGGGTGATCAAAAACTTATTACCTCGAGCTCATCCGTGATGCGGAAGGCACGATATGCCGTCGACCCCGGCTGCATCTTCAGTCGTTAGCACCCACCAATCCACACTGGGCTCGCGTGGTGGGTCATGGTCCAATCTACCTATTATTCTCATAGGGGAGGCCTGTACCCCAATAATGGGGACATTAATAGAATGATAAATAATAGTAAGGGTTTTGATTATATACCGAGTAACTGCGGGTTACTTTGACCTAAAATGTGCACTTTTTTCAAATAAAGTTGTAGCTTCTCTTTGTGATGAATATGTCACGTTTATATCTTTCCATTGTGAAGTTTAAAGTATAAGTTACAAGGTTATCATACGAAAATAGGAAAATATAATATTTATGGGTTAATATATATTTTTTTTAATTTTGGGCCAAAGTTGGCCTTAAAGAGGGTTACTTTAGCTCATTGACTTTTCTCTGTGAAAAAAACTCATTTTAAGCCATGTTGGGGTTAAGTAACCCTTATAACAGATCACCATTAGCATACTGAATACACAAATGGATGTTTTTGCCCAAAAATAATTAAGTTAAATAAAAAATAGAACTTTAAATTTAGAAAAAATAGTAAACTACCGAAAACCACAGTTTTGAGAAAGTTTGCGCATGAGTACGTAGAGAACTATTTCAGTTACAAAAAATGCCGCGTTACAGTGACAATTTGATACAGGAACGATGTCGGTAAAACAACACCACACTACGCGCCTTTAGGGCTATCTGTGATTTTCAACTGGAACTATTACGGTCACACAAGAGATTGATGGGGCGGCAATTTCAATATTTTTTCTGATTTGGGACAAAGTTATCCGCCCGAGCTAAAGTAACCCTCACTTACGGTACACGCCTAGATAGGGCAATCCAAATAAACCACGCTAAGAAAACTGCTCATGTTACGCACAATGTGTGCGTGACTCTAATGTGAGGTTGTTTGAAAGCAGTTAATGAATGCGTATGTAGCGACGAGCGTATCTACCATATGTAGTGGATATTTTTGGGCCGCTTCCGTGCAGTTAATACGGTATCTAGGCGTGTATATAATCAAAGAGCAAGGGTATATAGGTGGGTTATTTAGGTACTGGCCTGGAAGCAAACATCGTAAGGACGTTGATAGCTACACGAAGAGCCGTCGGGCAACGCGCCGAATGTGGAGGCGTCGCCACCCGCTAAAGGCACGCACCATATCTCGCAGTGTTTACTTTCTAAGTGAAAAAAAAAATTTTTGGAGCTAGCTAACTCTGAAGTGGGATTTTATTTTACTGCCGTGCTATTCTGTGAGAAAAAACTCACTTTTCATCTCTGTATCCACGATATAATTAAAAATTGGAACACGAGTTTCAAGTAAATTTCAAATCATACCAGCGAATATACCACAGTGAAAAGTGAGTTTGTTGTAACAGAATAGCACTGCTGAACTGGAAATGAAAAAAAAAATAAAAAGCGACAGATTTTAATTTTAGTTTATAGTTAACGAGTCTGCCAAGCTTAGTGTTAATTGAAGGACGGCCAAAATTACAGCCGGCTGGCCATTTCCGACCCTCAAATGGTTCGATTCCGACCAGTGCGTCGCCACCTGCGATCCGGCGTCCTCGCACGGCTGAATGTCACCCGTGAGCCCAGTCCCCTAACGCTGATTCACCGTCAAGATGCATGTAAGGTATGAATAGGCGGTCCTGGCGCGCACATGTCGGTGCACACGTCCCTCGAGTCTGCGCAGGTGGCGCCCAACCAGCACGTCACCACCTGCGACCCAGCGCTTTCGCACGGCTGAATATCACCCGTGAGCCCAGTCCCCTAACGCTAACTCACCGTCAGGATGCATGTAGGGTATGAACAGGCGGTCCTGGCGCGCGCACATGTCGGTGCGCACGTCCCTCGAGTCTGCGCAGGTGGCGCCCGACCAGCACGTCACCACCTACGACCCAGCGCTTTCGCACGGCTGAATATCACCCGTGAGCCCAAACCCCTAACGCTAACTCACCGTCAGGATGCATGTAGGGTATGAACAGGCGGTCCTGGCGCGCGCACATGTCGGTGCACACGTCCCTCGAGTCTGCGCAGATGGCGCCCAACCAGTACATCACCACCTACGACCCAGCGCCCTCGCACGGCTGAATGTCACCCGTGAAGCCAATCCCTAACGCTAACTCACCATCAGGATGCACGTAGGGTATGAACAGGCGGTCCTGGCGCGCGCACATGTCTGCGCGCACGTCCCTCGAGTCCGCACAGGTGGCGCCCGACCAGCACGTAGCCACTTGCGACCCAGCGCCCTCGCACGCGCCGTCCGCTATAGACCTTCCAAAACGAAACAAAAGAACTTGTGGAATACTTAGCCTGCTTTGTTTCATCCATAGTAAATTTTGATAGTAGTTAAAATATTATTTTATTTCAAATATTACACATTTACTATGTATTTGACGTGACTTTTAGTATAGTAAACTTCTACTTAAGATGAAACAACGCGAACTTTATAAAATAACAAGTCCACCATATTGGATTTATAATGTTAGCACTGAGATTATCATGCGGTGTTATCTAAACTAAACGTGTATTCAAAATATGATCTAAATCAGATGAGGATAACGTCTTTAAAATTTAGTTGAAAGATTAGATACGAACTTACGTACATAGTTATATTGATAGTCATATAAAAGCCTTTAATAAAATAGAAAATGTTACAAGAATTTTAGGCGCTAAATAGAATATATCGAGTAGCGGGAATGCCCATATTAAAGGAAATAAAAAGGAAAAAGTTTCAGGACCTGAGCATGATAGCAGAAACTGGCGACAATTAAGGTTTTCGGGGAATTTTTTTACTAGTTAGCGCCACTGTGGCATGTGGTCTCGTTGATCAAGTATATGATATAGGTACCATAAAAAAGAAATATGTGCTCTCGGTCCATGTTAGGTCTTTTCATGATTTTAAGTGACTTCGGTATTGTACTCGTTTTGGATCAAACGATGTAAAGAATATGGAAACATATGCGCTTTGACAGATCCATCTCCATCCACCATCTCGCTCCATTGCTGTCACCTAGTACTCTCTCTCATTATATCTACATAGCCTTCTGTGAAACATGCATAACTTTATATTAAGTACGTATAAACTAACGAAGTTTTTGATGATACGACTTACCCTTTATATCGGCATCTTCTAAGCCTCCTACGGAGTCCATAACCACAATCAGCGTTACAGCCGCTCCACGGACCCCATTCGTCCCACTGTGGAGCCAGGGGTTCTTCAACTTTCGTATCCACGTGGCCTGGCATAGGTTCGCAAACGCGGTCCACACACCACTGCAATAAAGTTAGTAATTAAACTTTTCAAATGGCAAAGAGGTTTTCTAAATACCTAGTCTGTCGGTAATTCTCAGCTAACCTTATTTTTGAGCGTCCATACAAATATCTACTAATTCTACTATTACTACTATTTTAGGGTTGATAATTTTTTTGAAATTAGTTCTAGCAATTATTTAATAATAAATGAATACTAAAAATATACACTTAATCTAGTAAAACATCACCCAATTTTTTTTCTAAGTTGTTCTCCTAATTTCCATTAACTGTTCAGTAACCAGAAACACACTTTCTACATTGAATAGTTCCAAAACAAGCTATGATTATTCATATGTAGTCTATATATTTTGAAAGAAGATTAATATATTTTGCTTTTAAAAAATATCATCAGTTAACAAGTTTATTTATTTAGATATATCAAAAAATATGCTTGACCTTTCATTATAACCTATTTCTGTTCATATCGCATATTAGGAATAGGTCAATAGTGATGCGTCAGTAACCATAGTGATTGATGTCTAGTGTTTCGCTGTCGCATTAAATAACATAAGAAAGTAATTTCCATTCGCATGGTTTACGATTTCTGTAATTTTTGTTCGCTTGTTTAATTTTATTCTATAATGCCTGATATTTTTTTACAGTTAATGATTTTTAGTTTAATAAAATGTTGAATTCATCCCTAAAACCATATTCAATATTATTAACCAATTTATTTATAACTAGCGGCCCGCCCTCGCTTCGCTTCGGTGTAGAGCTGAAGCGTAGACTACAGTTTTTGTTCTCAGGCTTGTTTTATACACAATGACATTCATCTATGATTATTCTTATACCTTCATGCAAAGTCTCAGCCCGTTCGGTTTTAAAATTGACAAAGTTTCATACAAACTTTCATTCCCTATTTTATCCCCTTGGGGGTAGAATTGATCAAAATCCTTTCTTAGCGGATGCCTACGTCATAACATCTACCTGCATGCCAAATTTCAGCCCGATCCGTCCAGTGGTTTGGGCTGGGCGTTGATAGATTACTACGTCAGTCAGTCACCTTTGAGTTTTAAATATATAGATTATAAAAAAACTGAAGATGGTATATTTATCTTTTCCAAACTTCTATTGACATCACGTCGCTCAATTGTTTTGCCTTCCCAGAATCTCTCCACTAACATTTGAAATTTATGGTATGATACTAAAGTTCAAATTGACTTTTAAGTATTATTACGAATCGTTTGTATGGGAGTAAAGAAAAGTTTTGTTTTTTGACATTTTCAGGCATTTTTTAAAATTTTTCTCTTCGTAAGAACTATCCTCGTACTTCAAGGAATATTCTAAAAAAAAATCAGCCAAATCGGTCAAGCCGTTTTCATGTTATGTCGTGACAACAGAAAACGGGTTTCATTTTTATATATATAGATTAAAAAGTAAACTCGTGTTCCTCATTTCCGTCACCCAATTCCGTCATCCTAAAAATTAAGAAGACTGTAAATTGCTTTAAAATAACAGTTTGTTACTATTTTATTCTGTTTCAACGTACATAGTGAATGAATTGATTATCGCCGACTGAGCCGATTGTATGATCAAAGTACCTAAGATGTTTTTTTTTGTTTTTCACACAAGTTGGTTAGTTTTTCTTTTGGTCATTTACAGCTGAACAATGATTTTGAATATTTATTATTTCCATGTATTTCTTTTTAAAACAGAAATTATCCAGCAATTCTTTAAAGCCTGTCACTGCGAATCTAATTTTCGTCACGCCCAAAGTATATCAATTAATTAATCCAAATCTAAATAGTTAATTAAAGTGCTAAAAGCACAAATTTATAAAGTTTATTATATTTTTCAACTTTTATTGTCGGTTGCCCCGACAGTTTTGAAAAGGAATTACAATGAAAATTAAAAATCGTGACGTAAATTTTACGAAGAACACCTTGTTGTGTGAATGACCGATGTAACAAAACTCCTTTTATATTTTGTACCTATCACGAACCAGCTAGCACTTCTGAAAAGGTCGATGGTGCACTGGATTACGCTCTTGGTCTGCGATTATGCATGTTAATAAACTTTGGATAATTTTGATCACGATAATGTAGCCTTGGCAGTCGTGATTTTGATTGGATAACCATACCTTCTAAATTTTAAATGGTACTTGTATATAAGTTTAGTTTAAAATGTTTATCAGAATCCAATAACATGACACTAAAGACGGTTCGTGCGTCATGAACTCTATAGGGCCATACAGGACTTTATCGGGGTGCGGCGCTCAAAAACACAGTTATTACCGTGAGGTGGCAGGGATTAGATTTTCTATGAAGAGAAAAAGAGAATATTTGTAAATGTGTTTTGAAACACTTTTTAGCGCACAGTGTCTTATGTGAGAATAGACAAGCACCTCATGCCGCACAGTACGCCGGCGCTCCGAGTGGCCCGAGTGGCTAGTGTTGCGAAAGGAGAGCATGCCCTCGACGTTATAAAAAATACAGTAACAATTTGCAATATGAAAAAGTCACGTAAAAAAAATTACTGAAGATGGGGAGCGCAATAGTGAAATAACTTTTTTTTAATATTAATAATGATACTTAAACAGACGTTATTATATTTCTCTCTTATAAGTTAAGTAAACATAACTTATGGATTTAACAAAATACCAGTATTGTATCTATTAAACTATCGACATTTACATCACTACCAATTTGGTTGGGGAAAGTTACTGCTGTGCGGTAATTTACTTCATTTAATTTCAGCCATTTAGAAAATCCTTATATCTCGTGACTTTTGGATAGAATCGCATTCGACGCTAGCTAATTTGCATTAAATTAAGCTTTAATCAAAAAATTATCAAAATAGCTGCAAATTTCACAAACTCACTAATTTTATAAAAGAAGATGATATGAACAAATTCTGTTCATGGTGCACATTAGTAAATATGGATATGGAAGTATGGATCATCACGCTCCCACGACAAATATTATCTTTCAGTAAACGCATTAACATTGTAACTATATTTTGTTTGTAGACTTTGTGTTTTGATAATAAACTTTAAGCATACCATATGCGAAATTAATGAATATCTATATCGTACGAATACACCCTTGGACGAAGGATTTCGATACGATTACACCAGGTTTTTTTTTGTATATTTCCAATATCAGCTGTAAATCATGTTCAACCAGCTGTCAAAATTGGCAATAGGATTTACGATAAACTGTCAACCAGGTGGCTGTTCTAAGAGAGATTATCCTGTAGAAATTGGACGGGTCCAGGTACCTTTATAAAGTGACATTGGGAAGTATCTTCAATTTTGTCAGATGAAAACATACCCATAAAGAACTTATTTAAATGTAAACGAACTAAACGCAAATCATCATAAATTAAAGTAGAGAAATGAATAAATGTTTCCATTGCATTTAGGTTTATGTTAAAAATCATTTTTTTAAGTATTGTGTGTATATGTCACCGTCAATCTGTACAATGCAGATATTCTATGCAATACCTAGGCAATCTATAGAATACCTAGAGCGTCTAGGTAATGTATGGAATACTGTAAATATTATTTTCCATTTAATACTTTGCCTAGGTAATGTATACAATTCCTAGGAATTTTATAGAGTTCCTGCTTGCCCACCGGGAATGTGTAAAATAAACAGATATTGCATATAAAATGACGGACGGATTTAATAATTCTCACCGAATGAATTACAGACCTGTGAACGTTTGACAAACTCACAGTGGGTTAGGTTGAGTAAGTGTTGTGACCTAAACTTCGCTATGTTTAGGTCATCGAGATGAGCGAACAAAGTGAGCGTGCCGTAGCAGCAACCGGCGAAGCGCCAGCCTAATAGATAATTATTATTTACTAGAATGGCTAGAGGAATTTCGATGCGGTCCGTGAGGGCCGCGGTAGCATAATTGGTCAGTGCATTCGCCCGGATTGCGAAGGGTGCGGGTTCGAGTCCCGTCTGCTGCCTGGTTCACGTGGATTTTTTTCTAGTTATATTTTCTTTAGGTTTAAACATCAAGCAGTTACATATACATATAAAGATAATTATTAGATAAATAAAACAAGGAAAACTCGACGCCCTATCTACTCTAACACACATTGCCGACTGCGTATTCGGCATTGTATAGAATACCTAGGCAAAGTATAAAATGAATACTATTTCATACATTGCCTTGACGTTTTTGGCATTCTATACGTTGCCTAGGAATTTTATACAATGCCGAATTAAGTAGATTGCCGGTGACATATATACATCAATGGCCTTATTGGTATACATTTATTCATTTCTCTTTTTCACTTTGGTTTATATTGACTTGTTAAATTGTACAATTCTATAAAGTATGTGATTTTGCGTTTAGGTATATTATGTTCAATCTTTAAATGTTTGTCGTTATCTTTCAAAAATACCAGGGCTGTCAATTTTTTTAATTCTGTACTTGAGGAAGTATTGAATGCGTTAAAATACGAACAATGATACTACTCCATCATTTCATGTTAAACTAAAAATTCAAATTTTCTATATTATTCAGTCATTATGCAGTTTCCGTATATTTATTTGGGTTGAAAACCATTATGAAGCACTGCAAATGACCAACTTTATGAATATATACGACCGTATTTAAAGCCTTGTGCTTAATGGAATTACTTAACGTCAACGTAATTAAATGAAATTTCAATATTATTTTTTCTGAAAATTTGTCATTAGACCAATATTTTAAATCTTCGTTTATTTATCTTAAAGAGTCGTGTAAATTAGATTAAGCTCATCTTTGCATACGAATATTTTTTCATGTTAATGCTGATTTTTTTTAGCCGTTTTAAATACTAAAATAGTATTTATCCAATAGCTTATTTTTATTGATGATGGCCCTATGGAAAGGACTTTTGCTGAGGAATTTATGCTTGCACACGTGCGATGTGAACGCCCCGTGGTGCATGCAAACCGCGCAGACTAATGGAATCTTAACACATGCATGTATTTCCTCGGCGATTCTTTTGAACGTAAACCAACAGACTGGCAAGCTTATTGTGTTCCTGGAATCATCCAGGAATCTCAATATATATGTATAAAAAAAAGATACCCATTTTATTACATTACATTTAATATCTCTGATCCTTTCCCTGCTATAGGTCACACTCATTATGATTACCCAGTCGAACATTCTGGGTAATACAATGTATATAGTCACATATGCCCACGCAAAGACTTTGGCATTTCAGACAAAGCCGAAGTAACAGCACTGTTGTAGTTAAACTCACTCAAATGGAAGGTTTTATCATGATAAATTTAGCTTACGTGCCTCGGGCATTGAGTGTAGTGAAAGTGAGACGGGTGGACGGTGTAAATTGATATGGATTGGTGTGTTGAAAATATACATCTACAAGAAATTTCAAGAAAAAGCTAATTTTAAATAAAACCGAAATGAAATTAATTGATCAAATGTATCTAGTTACCTTGCCTCGGAAGGGCCTTGCCTTGGAGTTCTCGCTCCTTACTTAACGGCGGCATCTTAAGCGATGCGACTTCGCAATGATATTATTCACAATAAAGTTGGCGATGCGACGATGCGGCGATGCGACTTCGCAATAATATTATTCACAATGAAGTAGCTTTATTTTCTACAACAAAACTCATTTTTTCTCGTTCTAAATAGCAAAGCATGCGGGATGTGTGTAGCTTTAGCAATTAAGAATTCAATCAGAACAACTTCTACCTTCCGTGACTCAAGAAATGGCAAATCTAATATTTTTGTTTATGCGCCTCTTCGAAACAAATACTACTTCCAAGTCGAAGTCCATTTTCTTTCATATTCACAATAGCGAAAACATCGTTTTGTTTTACTTTATATAATAAGGCTGGAATCTGAAGTCATATTTTTGTTTATTTCTCTTTTAATTTATTATAAGCCCATCATCAAGAGTTGTTTTATGTGGAATGCGAGAAAATGTAAATAGGTAGGTACTTTTACGTCTACTCCTTGTACAAATACTTGCCGAAAGGAAATAAAATGCTGCATAAAAATGTAGAAACGAAAAAGTGAGCTTAATGTTCCTGTAATGTTTTTACATTAACATTGCGCCAATATAAACCGCAGGAGAGATAAAAGAGGTATTAAAACGCGCGAGCCCAGCCCGAGACAATCAACAGGTTGCCTTTGTTCTTTTTTCGAGAAGGATTTCAACGATGATAAAATACTTACATCGTAAAATTACTGAGTTCCACGATTGATAAATATACCGCACTCAAATATTGAAACGGTTATGTATCGAAGTACCTACCTATAGATACGATTAGTCACTCCAAACATTTTGCCAGTTCTAAACTTAGCGTGTATCTAGCTTATTTTCATTATTTTAGTAACAAACAGGTTCAAAGAACAGCAAGTTACAAAAGTACTAGACAGTTAAACTTTAGTAGGTACAAAGCTCATTTCATAGCGGTTCCTAAAGGCGTCAACATTTACATGGAAAAGCTAGCAGTACTTAATAATTTAACAAGAAAGTATGTTTATATTTCAATTAAGTTAATTACTTTTACCATTAAATTTGTTACATTGTCCGGGAAGAGTGAGTAATCAGTGTGAAAATAACAACATTATGTTCCACTTTTTGATGCGCAAAGGGTGGCAAACGGGATAATAACCACCTTATGGTAAGAGGCTTATAGACGCTTGAAGTACCAGTGAGTATCACTTGTGTATTACCTACGCTGACTCCATCCTACCCTGTGTTATCTACACCTTGTTATTTTAAGTGGAGAATTTTATTGTCATATAAAATGTGATGTTTCATTTATATTTAAGGAACAACTTCCGCGGTATGTGATATTTCATTATGTTACGAGCTCCGAGGTTGGAGTGATATGTACGAATAGATAGGCACACAGGGTTTTCAAGGTTTCGCCTACTCAGAAGTCCTGGGTTCGAATACCGGGGCAAATGTCTGTATGACGCATTTATATTTAAGTCGTATTTTTTATTTAATTTCTAATTATCATTAATGTAAATCTATCCATTTCCCCAGTCACGGTACACATGCCCCAGTATCCTATAAACCAGTTTAGAGCTAGGTCAATTGGTGTAAGTGGTTAGAAATTGTATTTATATATTTTCTATCTTTCTTCACTGAAAAAAGTAATTTACAGAACTAGTTAGCCTGAATTACTGAGTAAATCGATGAATAGCCAAACGTTGTTTACTAATAATAAATAAATTTCAGTCACTCATAGACCAACTATTCTGTTGCATTTTACATTAACATTTAAGTTTATCTAGTTTAGGTAAAAACTACTAAACCGTTTTGTTATTAACTGTCAAATTCGATTCCGATAATCTGTAACATAACAATATAGGTATTGTTATAATCAAACACACTTAAGGTGATTATTTATCTAGAGTTGGCCTAACTATTTTCTATTTTCTGCAATTTATTAGAAAGCACAAAAATGAATAACTAAAAAATGTTGTAACTGTTAGCCAAAAAGTTCTGTTACAGATTGCAAGTACGAGTTTTGTTAAATGTTCGGTACATCCGCTGAATCGCGCTATAGAGATTGTTTTGTGCATACATATAAGGTATGTTTATAAAACTTATTTTTAAAAGTTAATTGGGAATTAGGTTATTATTTTTACACAAATCCCCTGTTTTTGAAGCCCATTTGGGCCAATTTGAGCAATCTCCTTTCACATACCTAACTGTTTTGTTATAACAAGAAAACTATTTTAACAAAACCGAATTTGTCTACTAGCAATTATAGTTATCTAGTCATTTTTCTGTAATAGGTAACAAAAAAAAAATATAATTAACTCAAACCTTTTTTCAGTGTTTGTCTATCTTATAACCATATTTACCTTGTTAGGTCCACAAGGTGTCCCCTCCATAGGCGGCGCCCGTTTTGAACGACACACGTGTGGCATAGCTCGGTGGGCACACCACAGCCTTGAACAGGCTGACTTCAGTTTCATAGTCTTGCACACGGAGAAACTGCAACGATAAAATGTGTTAAGTACGGTCCAAAGTCCGCAAATGGAATGCTGTTTTCCTCCCTCCTACAACTCGGGTTCTTTTCAAAGAGTGAAGCAACTTGCACGCCAGCAAGGTGTGGATAGCTGATATGGCAGTTGAGCTGTTGCAACCAATTATATTCACCATCACATCACCAATCACATCACTTTACATCAGGTGGGATGGAGTCATTTGCTAGGCTAATAAAAAACAGGTTAACATTTTACTCATCAAAAGGGCATATTGCCCGCCTGATGCTACACATCTATAGATCCTGCGATGTAGTGCATACCCTGTCCCCATTCCCCAACTCCGTGGAGATTTGTAAACCTGACTCGTTGCGACAACACGTTAAAAATAGAGCTATTTGAATAGTCTTCTACATAATTCCTTAATTATAATCCGAGCAATTATTCGCTAATGTGATCCAGTTCTCCTGAAAGGCGCTCGAAACAACATAATGTACAGGCTACTGTAAGTAGCAAAAACTTTGCCAGTTGCTCCTGTTTCAAACTTATTATTATGAAAAGACATAACAAATACCAATTTCTTATGACTTATAAAGTTCTGTAAGACATGTTTTTTCTACACATGCGGGTTTTTATAATACCTACCACCTACCATCTAAGTTGCTACTTTCTGTATGGATTTAATTCTTATTCTAGCAACATAAAGTTTTATTAATAAAGTTCTAGTAATATTATAACATATAGAAACAGCGAGAAACTTCTTTACTAAAGTCTCTTAAGTCTCAATTTGTTGATAGCAGTCGACGCACAACTTTGTTTAGTGCTTACGGAAAATAGTATTTAAGACATGTAAATAAGTGTGAATATTTATAAAACACAACTCGTTTTAAAATATTGGTGCATGATTTTCAATACAATATTCAAAGCGGTTATATATAATACTTTTCCGATTTAATATTCCATTAAAGATTCACGTTTCACCAAATAAGAGATTTATTAATTCACGTAAAATACGAGGCTACCTTTTTCTGTGAACGTTTTATTTTTTGCAATTAAATCTCATGGCTAAAAAGAACTCAAATTAAAATCTTATCTCATTGTAGGTAACGCTAGAAGACAATGAAAATGCCGCCCACAGCCATTTACAAATTTGAGCAAATCACGACACCAACACTAGAAAAGTCACTGACCCCCGTTTATTACTAATATAACATTGTGTACGGTAATTACCCATTGTGTGTCATTAATTGTAAAGTAAAACACATGACAATACCGTTTAATCTTTTGTTCTCAATAATTAAGGCTAATTTGACTAGACTGTACTATCAAATATTGCGTATTATTTTACGCATTTTTGTATTCAGGAATGACTGGCTACTTCTCCAAAATAACGTTATTCAGCTCGCTCTGGAGCTTTTTTGTTTATTAATATTATAAGGTTTTAGTTATTTTTGCAAATAAGAAATCGTATGAGAATGTGTTTTTCCTTATTTTCCCTCAGTTTCTGCAAGCGGTTTATGAGATATATATGTTTGAAATTAATGTGACCATAGCGATCAATAAATGATGCCAGAGCAATCAAATAAATTATAGAAAAACAATTAAGTGAAATCATATTATTATTATACTTCTGTGATTCGCCCTTCGAGATTACACTTAATTCACTTACTACGTACTCGGGACTGACCATGCAGGGATCTCTGCACGATTTAAAGTGCAACCGGTTCTCAAAAAAGGATACCGTTCAGACCCCTTTCCAAAATTATACCCGCTACCGCTATGGCTACTCAGTCCAGAGCGATCAATGCCATAGCAGACAAAAAAAGTAACATTTTCATATATTCTGGCAAAAGTTATAGCACTGGGAATTCCATAGATTTACATTATTTTAACATTCTCAATGCAAACACTTTGATCAATCAACCAAGCAATGCCAAATTAGTTATAATTTAAAAAAATGTACCATAGCAATCGATAATTTTGAAAACCAAAACCAGAGTGATGAACTGTTTATCTTTGTATATCGTAAACGCAGGACCGCAACGCATAACGTCCTCCATAGGCTGTTGAAACGTGACTCAGAGAACAGCTAGCGGAGGGGGCAAACAGAGCTGCATCTTAAACTAGGGATGGACAAACGAATTCATGTCGTTCCAGAGTAATCAACAAGAAACATCGGACACTTCTTTTTTCGTATTTACGCAAAACTAATTAGCATTTACATGAAATTAATTTAATTCATTAAAAAAACGTTTTTCCAGACAAAATCAAGTAATAGAGTAAAAGTTATTTGATATTATTTCAACGAAAGTGGTGTCCGAGCGTGTGTCCTGGATCTGGTGTCCAGAGTGATCATTTTTTGGTAGTTCGCGATTTTTTTTAATGTAATATATATTTTTTTAAATAATGAAGTTAGCAGTATTATGTAAATGTCCAAGGTATGCTGCATTCGAAACTACAATAAACATAATATTTTAAATTACAAATTTATTTTAAGAAGCCTAATTTCTCCAAGAAGACGCATTTTTCGTTTGGAGAACAAGCCGACTAAGCTTACATACGAGCTTAATATAAAAACGACATTAGCACCGAACAGTTTCAATATAAACCACATTCATGTTTCTACACAATATGTCCCAATCTAAGAAAGATATATTAACTAAATATATTACTTCAATGTTCAGAAAGGAAAGTAAGCGTCTCATATTATAACAAAGGGAAAGATTTTTCATGTCAGGATAATCACCCTAAAAGGTGGTCGTAGATGCTTCGCTTCGAGTAACTTATAGATGAGATTTCCCCATTGTATCCGTATTTACTGAAAAGTGGCACTCATTTCAAAACTTATGATGATCCTTCTAGATTATCCTAAATAAATTTGAAAGGTTCGTTCTGTGGGCGGGTTGTTAAATACTGTTATATTAAATTAAAACAAACATCCTGTAGGATATCTACTACTCGTCCTCGCCTCGGGGAATGTAAGACGTTTCTACGAATATTGTGGCAATCCTTAGGACCTTTGTGCTTTAACTGTAATTCAGAAACCAGCATCATATTACTAAGTTACTTAACATAATTTTCAGACTGAGTAAATTTAACGTGTGGTGGTTAACAATATTACCATGAAAATAGATAAAAAATACGACGACCTCCGTGGCTGAGTGGTTTGTACGCCGGGTTTCATGGTGTCGCCGACTCGAGAGGTCCCGGGTTCGAATCCCGGTGGGGGCAGATGTTTATGTGATGAATACGAGCATTTGTACTGCAGTCATGGATGTTTAATATGTATTTCTATTTAAATATAATTATATATGTATCAGTATATGCATTCTATCCATTACCCTAGTATCCCATAACACAAGCCTTACAGTGCTTACTTTTGTTTTTATAACGATGTAGGCAAATGACTCTACCCCACCTGATGTTAAGTGGTGATAAAGTCCAAACGTGAAGATAGCTGGTACAGCAGTTATGAACTGCTACACCAACCATCCTCACCTTGCCGGCCTGAAAAAATGCTTCTTCCCGCCTCTCTTAAAGGACCCCAGATTATAGGAAGGAGGGAACACGTGCGCAGGTAAAGAATTCCACTTACGAATAGTACGACAAAGAAATGAGTCACTAAATTTCAAAGAACACTCGCCCTGGTATAGTCGGTAGAATGCACTTCATGATGCCACATCAGGGCGTAATTGTAGAGACTCGAGTTTCTTAGTTACCTCTTCATCGCCAATGATGCGGGCATCGCGCCGCTGCAACCTATCCAGGGCATCGAGTAAATACTTAGCGGAGCCATCCCAGAGGTGCGAGCAATATTCTACGCAGGACCGCACTTGCATTTTGTACAACAAGCACAATTGATCGGGCGTGAAAAAACGCCGCACCTTGTTCAGGACTCCGAGTTTGCGTGAAGCTGTTTTGATCAAGGTTTCGATGTAGTCCTTTGGATTAAGGTCTGAGTGAACTTCCATACCGAGCATGGTAATATTGCTCTGTAGCGCCAGTGTTGTGCCCTGAAGAGAGGGAAGGGGAAGGAATGGCGATGTTTTTGCCGTGAAAGCGCAAGCCTGAGTTTTCTTGGCATTGAACTCAACCAAGTTCCTGGTACCCTATTCGGAAATGTGGTCCAAAGCCTGATTGAATTACTTTGGGGCTAGGCTAATTGGTATGAGTGTTGGAAATATTTATTATTATTTTATTATATCTGTTCGAAGATACTTTATGTGTGGAATTAAAAAAATCGGTTTAAGTATCATTGACGGTAAAATTATAATAAAACGATAACATTTTTTTCCTTTTCTAGTCCTGGAGCAAAATACAAAGAAATGAGTCACCAAATTTCAAAGAACACTCGCCCTGGTATAGTCGGTAGAATGCACTTAATGATGCCACATCACGGCGTAATTGTAGAGACTCGAGTTTCTTAGTTACCTCTTCATTGCCAATGATTCGGGCAGCGCGCCGCTGCAACCTATCCAAGGCATGGAGTAAATTCTTAGCGGAGCCATCCTTGAGGTGCGAGCAATATTCCACGCAGGACCGCACTTGCGTTTTGTACAACAAGCACAATTGATCGGGCGTGAAAAAAACGCCGCACCTTGTTCAGGACTCCGAGTTTGCGTGAAGCTGTTTTGATCAAGGTTTCGATGTAGTCCTTTGGATTCAGGTCTGAGCGAACTTCCATACCGAGCATGGTAATATTGCTCTGTAGCGCCAGTGTTGTGCCCTCAAGACAGGGAAGGGGAAGGAATGGCAATGTTTTTGCCGTGAATGTGGTCCAAAGCCTGATTGAAATTCGAACTCTACAATGTGCATACGCCAAGATATTTGTATACAATTGATATCTCAACCTTGTGACTACGATAAGAACTTCAGAAGATTTCATAACGTCAAGTTGTGTATATGTTATGGGCCAAGTGATTAATGCAGGCAGTATTCATAATGCCAGGGCAGTATAAATAATGCCCAGCCATATCGGGCCAAGTGATTAATTACAACCTAAACTCACCT